ATATTTTTGATTTTCTCTCCGCTGAATTCCACGTTGGATGAGCTTTCATCGGTGCTGATGTCATCACTGCAGAACCCTCTCCGATAAAGCGGCAGTACGTGACTAAAGTCCGACTGCGAGGGTGATCACTCAGTAGGTCAAAAAGCCGTGAACGCCGCTGGTATCTGCAAGGTCACTGATGGTAAGGCCGATGTCAGACTTTGCGAATCGCGCGATTCGCTAGCGTCCGCGGTCGCGTTGCGGTACCAGCCAATTGAGTGATTCACTGGCCGCGACGCGACCGCAGACGCTAGCGAATCGCGCGATTCGCAAAGTCTGACATCGGCCTAAGGGAGTACCGATCTCATCGCGCATCGCTCCTTGCCCTGAGGAGGACCTGATTCTCTTTCTGATGGGTGTATTCCCACTCTTAAGCTCCAGTCTGTCGTGGAATCTTCTCTAGACGGAGGCATCAATCGCATCACGGCTCAAACGCATAAATATTGGAATTGGTTCCAAATGCAGCAATAAAGGCTTGCATCCAGTTATTAGGACATGACATACAACTAGCTGAGTAAGATTTCATTCAACCATGTTACTAATAATCCTTGCTTGGAACTACAGTCAACACTTTGCTGAGTCTGAGTTGCCGCAAATTTACATTGCAAGTTAATATTCACAATCGTAGAATGGAGGTGCACTTATATGTAAGTGCACATTTTATAGGATTAAAATTGAAAATGACAAAATTCAAAGGTAAAAGAGACGAAAAAATTGGAAAGGAGCGCTCATCAGCACTAGGATGCTCACCTGTATCAATATCCATATGATTATCGTGCGTGATCACCACACCCTTCAGATGTTGTTTAACTAATTCCAAATATTTTGATCGATCACGGTGCGTTTGGAAGCCAACCTGCAATTATCAACACCTTCGAAAGCATGGAAGGCTCCCGTGTTGCATGTATGTATGTGTATGTATGCTATCATTTTGTATGTTTTCCAGAAAAGTCGGTCTGACCCTGAATGCAATACAAACACTCTTCATTTGGTTAGCGCACACGTTACCGGGGGCAATCACGATGACTGCTGGTCTGTCCTGCTTTTCGATACTTAAAGGCAAACCCCGGGATTAGCTCGGACAGTGCGGAAGGATACCGCGAGAAATTGTGGGGTCCCTACCTACCTAGATCACTCCAGCTTCGTCGCAAAAATTGCGCGGTTAGGGCGCTAATCCTTACGGGCCTGCAACCATCGACCCTGCAACGCTTCCCACCCACCGCGATTGATGTAGAGATCAGCGTGCTCTCTCAAACGACGTGCTCTCTCGCGTGTTTTGTCTTCTTTGATCGCCCTGTCTCGCCATCGTACCACATCCGACCTTATTGAAGGTTAAGGCCTTAATTTTAGCGTTTCCGATGATTTCTCTTGCTTTCCTTTCCACTTTCAGTTCATTTGCAGCTCATGGTCCACACTCAAACCCTCATAAACACCAGCTTTATCCCGGGGCTTTTAGATTGGCTTGGAGAAGCCGGGTCAGGTCACATGTTTGAGTTATGTAGGGAAGGGTCAAGATGTTACAGAACTCATGACCTCCACACAGCCATGCCGACAAGGGGCGGGGCTATTATGTATGAATATCATAGGGGGGAAGAAAAAAAATACTTCCTAGCAACGCTGTGTAAATCGTTGCTGTTAAGTTGTGGCAGGGAGGGGGATAGAACGACTGACCGGGGTTCGTAAATCGCAGAGGGCTGTCGCAAGACAGGCGAAGTCCAAGTAATTACTTTGGGGGTGGAAGAATTCTTCAGGTGGTTGGAATGGTATGTGAAGGGAAAAAGCCGACCTAAACCAAATGTATGGAAAATTAAACAACAATCAAGTAAAATACTAGCAGTAAAATAAAACAAGTAAGTGTGTGTACGAATACATAAGACGGCATGGAAATGGGACGTACTTCCAGGTTTGGATCCAGTGACTGCATCACCAATCCAGTCAACATTAGATGATAATCGTGGATCCATATAAAGTCCTGCAAATTTTTGTTTTCATTAGCAGTTTTGACTGACAAGGAGAGGATCCTAGGTCGAAATAGCCATTCAGTGATAGATGTACGCGCCTGAATTTTCCTTCGAGCGCTGATCTCAAATCCACCTTCCAAATCTGCTCAACTATTTTATGAACAGAGTTGTCAAGTAAAGGAGGTGGTATTGGTCACAACTCACAAAAAGACGTTGTGAGGTTGACCCTTTACCGTGCTAACAGAGAATCATTCAACAGATTTGAAGGATAGATTGGAGATAGGCGTTCAAAAGCAAATTCAGGCTTGTACATCACTTCTTGAATGGCCATGGGCATACTCCTTTTCTTGTCTAGGAAACGTTTATGATCATCTACAGAATTGTCATGGATTGAGGATGACTCTCGGTGAATGCTCTGTCAGGCTTTTATTCTTCTCTGCATATTTCATATTGACCACCACTAAAAAAAGCTTAGCGTTTTGAACTGGCAGCGTCCGAGCATGAAGATCGAAGAGACACAATCACTAAGTTACACTTGAATACTCATGAGCGGCATCAATGGTAACCCAGTTGTGAATGGGAATTGAGTAGACAAAATCTCATAAGAATCTACAGCTACATACAAACATCTTCTAGGGTACTTTTAGCTTCTCCAGATCTAGTGATCAAGTACAGTGATACAGTGCGGGAGCTGTCGGGGTTACTCACACAAATCTACAGGGTTGGTCCAAAATTTATGAGGACCAAGACATTGTGTCGTTAAAAACACATAGTTGCTTGATGGGAAAAACAAACTTCAGGGAAGTGTTTGCAACTCTTATCTCAAAGTAAATCCAGAATAGAATTGAGATCTGCCACCTGCCGCGTTCACACGAGCCTTCAGATGAAGGGGGATGGCGCGTGCGCTGACACGCAACTAAGGCGTGTCAAAATGTTTCCAGGCCTTCTGCTCTGCCTTTCTTCAGGGGATCGAAGTTTTGTGGGGCATTTATTTGCACTTGCCTCCAGGGTGTAAAATACAGAAGTCTAGTGATATAAGATAAAAGGTTCCTATGTAACAATTCTTCAAAGCAAGGAACTCGAAAAATCGCTTTTAGGGGATTTTCGCTCTATTCTTGGGTGCTTGGGTCCTGTAAAAAGTTCCAAGTATAGTACTCAAAAAGCTTCCTATCCACTACAGATGTGGAGCCTTTAGAGTGTCTGGCTGGGTTTTCACATCGATTTTTTCATTTTGGGAGTACGAAAGTCGACAAGGGGAGAGCTAGTTTCTGCATCTGATAATTGTCCTGGTGGTAACTGTAACTTTCGAGTCTCCGAATTTTCCATCTGTGGTGGTTCCAAACTTATTGAAGAGTTGAACTGTTGCTCATAAGAGCTTCCCTGATAGGTTAGACTGCTGCTAGATGCAACGTGCCAGAGCCCCTAGTGAGTTCAATTTGAGGACTGACGTAAGGTGATGCAGTTATTTCACTAGTTTCGAGAAGTGCATGAAATTTGGTTTCATAGGAAGAAGACATTGTACCCTTTCACATAGTGCACAGAAAAGGAGATGAAAATGGAGCGACTCGAAAAAAGTGGATATGACTAGCGCGCACGCGGTCCTCATAATTCTTGGACCACCCTGTAGTATCCGTTAGTTCTATTGGCATCGATATATTCCCAAGTCGTTATAAAACAATTATGTGTGCTGTTTCTTCTGTGCCATACAGGTTGTTATGGTGGAACACGTTTATTGGTCAACGTTTCGACAATTCGTCGTCTTCAGGACCTGTGGCGAGTCCACCAGTCTTTGCAGCCTCCTCTTCTTGTTAGTGAGCGAATAAAATTAATTTTATGCTCACTAACAAGAAGAACAGGCGCAGAATAAACTATGGACAGTTACTCAGCAAAAATCAAGCAAACTGTGAACAATTTTTACGGGCCAGCAATGGCAGTCCGCTTTCACAGTATATTTTTTGTGGATGGGGAAGAAAACTCATCCAGAAAATTGAGCCACGCATGCTTCAATAACTAAACTGGGAGCCTTTGAGATGAAGAAACCAAGGAATCAGTAACCACACCAGTTGGTGGAGCCTCATTCAAGACGAAGTCATTGGACGAAGAGTACAGTTGTAATATTGAAGTTGGGAATTGAGAAAAGTAGATAGTTTGATCTCCATTTCACACTTATCATTAGTCTTAAACAGTAGTCGAATAGGTTGTATGCAGATAATCTTCTCATAAGGAGAATTAGTGCAGTGGCTCAGGTGCCGCTTACATCGCGCAAATCTTGGAACATCCAAGGGAGAGAAGCGAAGTTGTGACAAACCTGTGGCCGACTATTTCGTACAGCATCAATAGCGAATTGATAGTTGACCCGAACATAAGCACACCAGTGGTCGCGCAAAATCTGAAACATTCGATGAGAGATGCAAAACACCGCGGACTTAACTGTTTTGAGCAATCGCTACCTTCGGCGTATCGTAATCAGGGACTATATACTCCGGTAAGTTGTGCAAAGCTGGCCATAGGAGACCATTGCTGATGCCACCATAGTAGACGTTGTAGTCTTCCTCTTGTACAATCACAGGGTTCAATTTGTAATTGCCTCGGTTATAGTTGTTCAGGACACCCAGCAACGACATCTCTTCCCTGAAATACTACGCTGAGGTCTGATTACCTTCATAGACGGTTTCCACGACATGCCATATAACGTTGTTCCCTCTTAAAGGCAAAGTTCGGGCTCAGACCCACCTAAGAAGCCCTTACCATGGCTAGAAGTGCTGGGTACGCAAGTGCAAAGGTAGCGCCACCTTTCTACATCGAAACGCGTCACTAGGACCCTAGGCGCCATGGACTTCTAACAGACTCCACCAAACTTAACATGGTCCGCCCACCGTTCGATATCTTGTCTGCGTCGCCACGTTGATCTGCTATGCTCTCTCTTCTCGGACTTCTCTACCACTCTCCGCGCTCACATTATCTCTCATCTCCCTGCCTGTCTTTTGAACTTCTCCACAGCATGGAGCAAAATGCTCGTATTTCCTGTGTATTTCAGGATTTTCTTTCCTTTTTTCTCCACTGGCGGTCCACCTCCCATCCCTACTTTCACATTTGAGTGGAATCAACCCATCAATATAATCCTGATTCTTGCCTTTAAGTTCATTCAGTCATTACCTAATGGTACATAAGATGGCTGCGACTTATTGTTAGCAGCTCATACAATAGCTATTGAGGACTTCACGCTGCGCGAGCTCTTCCCACTGGAAGTGGTTAACACCCTTCCGTGGATAAACACCACGTGGCAGCCAAAGTTGGCGATGTTAGGGTAAAATAGATGCTATGGCTGAACTTGATTAACCTTTTGACAATGTGGCAAACATCACGTTTCAAGACACAGGAACGGTGAGGAAGGCGCTAACATAAGCGTGGTAGGATAAGTTTGTAATA